GTGTACAAGTAATTCAGTTTGGTTACTCGCCGATACCAGGTACCAATACAGAGTACTCACTGAGTTAGAACGTAAACAGTGACTTCAAAAACACATTTTTTAAAGTCTAAAACAAGATATCTCTCCTTCCTTATAGGCCTACAGCTCCTCTGACTGAATCAAATCTAATTTATAACATGGTAGTATGTACTGCTGAAACGTTTTAAAATAAATTAAAAATAAGAATTTGTTTCAGCTTGTATGAATTTCAACACGGAAATGACAAACTTTCCATTTAAAATGTAAACTGTAAGACATTTAATGAAGTTTCAAATCCAGTATTGATGCCTGTATTGGTATAGGCTCTGGTTATTGAGGCATTTTGAATGAGCACAAGTATGTGTATAAATACTGGTATCCCACCTGGGATGCCACTAATACAAACTTGTACTTACTAATGTAGCTTTCTTTCACACTGGTATGTCAATTATAATAAAAGTTGTTTTTATAAGCCTGAAAAACAATAGAAAACAGGTCCTTGTATGGCTGTTGGTCAAAAAAGAGGCATAGTAAATGTGGAATCTCACTTTATTCAACACATACATCCAACAGCATAATGGGAACACACAAAAATGTGCAACAGTCAGGTCTTTTTTCTCTTCATAAACATTCCATTTATATTCTCCACCTCCATAATAAAAAACTACATTCAGGAGTGAAATATTACTTTAAGTGTCAATGACAGGTCACGAGCCTGGGCTACACACAAACTTCTGCCCATTTTTTCATGCTCAGCGCTCAATGACTGCTGTCGTGACTGATAAGATGCTATCGGTAAGCATTTAACAAAGCATTCCTTTAAAAACTTCCACATTATTCCTGTAAGTCAGGTGTGCCATCTTTTCTAACACTGAGTTAAGACATCTTAAATGAAAACAATGCAGCAAAACAAACGGTCAGAAACTTTGTTTTGGCATCAAACAACAAACTTTGGGCCTCAAATCAAGATTTCTTCAGATTTTCATTGTCACAAAAAATGGTTCTGTTTTTATTTGCGTTTATCAATGTGGTACCCCTGTGCTGGAAAATTAGCCTAACCAGATGAAAGATTAACACACTTGATGCATTTAACAAAAAATTAAAATTAAATTTAAAAAAATTAAATCCCCTGTCCAATACAAGAGAGCATCATCAGCATATAACCTTTCTTTTTATGTACGACTGTAGAGACCCATCTGATAATCTTTTTTTGATCATAATCATCTGCAGTGGAATGTGAGAACAGCTCTGAAGGCAGCAGAGTGGGCGTGTTAATTCTCTTTATGAAATTATTGGTTGGGCACAGTCTCTCTCTCACACACACACAAACACACATGCACACAGAGTTATCTTTCTCTCTGTTCTTGTTGGTTCTCCCGTCTACTCTGACTCCTTCAGAATCTCGACAACAGAAGGCAGCTTATTGCAAAGACTTATGCAGCATTGATAACTTTCCATTATTTAAAAAAACACTATTTTGTTTTCCTTTCTCTCTATTTATATCTTCTCTTTTTGTTCAATCCCGCTCCAGTTTTTGAGTCTCTTGTTGTTTCCTTCTTCCTTTTTATTTCCACCAGATGAAATCAGTTTCTGTCTCCCAGCTCTCCTCATCAGGTAATTCCTTCTGAATCCTCCTCTGGGCAAACAAGATGACCCACTGCTTTCTAATTACCTCTGCACTCTCCCTTTCTTCCACCATTATTCCATTAGTATCCACTACATAATAATCATCAGGGTGAAAATTGGATGTAGTAGCTTAAAGCAGAGCAATGTGTGAACAAGGATGCAGAAGACAATCAAATGACTTTCATTTCCTAAAGCCATGTTCATATAACATAAATGGGAACCATTGGAGGGATTATTAACATTTTTCAAATGCTGGTTATTGTAAGTGATCTGAGGCATCTCCTGCTCTGTGTGTACATGACTGATATGACTCTTTCTTTAAACTGAAGGCACAAGTGAAATGTATCTTGCATGCAAGTATATGTGTGTGTATTCCCTGCTAGGTGGGGACCATTTTAGACATACAACCTTACTGCGGGCACCAGCTGGTACTTATGGGAACCTAAGCCTAGTCCCCATGGGAGGAAATGCTGCTGGTAGGTGGGGGGGGGTTAGGTTTAGGACTAAGCTGTGAATTGAGTTTAGGTTCAATTCAGGGTCAGGTATGTACCCGTGAGGTTAGGTGTAGGGTAAAGGGTCAGGGTTAGGTAAAAATCAATGCAATGTCCCCATAAAGATAGCTGTGCTATACTGTGGGTGTGTGTGTATTTGCCTTTAGCAATAGCAAAATATCTCATGAACCAGTAAACAAATTAGGAAAAAAAGCTCTAGAGAGTAGTCATTGAGTGTACATCTACAGCTGACTCACTTAAGATGGCTGCCACATTTAAGTAACAGCAGCAAACACAAGAATGGCAATGATTCAATCAGTTTTACAGATATTTAAATAAAACTCAGTGTGGTAGTAGCCGAGAGTCATCATTAACACTCACAGGGGCCCATTTGATAATTTAAGCTTGCTTTGCTGTTAAATATCAGTTATATCATAATGAAATCATATTTGTTGTTTTTGTTCATTTGAAAATGTTGCAACAACATTATGCTCTATTGATCCAGTCAAAAAAGCTGTAGTCTATAAGGAAGGAAAGGCGCCTTGTTCTAAATAAATGTGTTTTCAAAGTCATTGTGTAATGTTTAAGTTCTAACTCAATATCAGTACTGGTGAGTACCCACACTGAAATACTAATACTTGATTTGAAGAAAACAGGTATCAGGACAGCCCTACTCTGTAGAAATTTGATTTCACTTGACATCAAAGAAGACTAATTTATACTGACCATGACTGATTTACGACAGCAATAAAAACATAAAACATTCAAGGGGTGATAACTTTTTATAGGCACTGTAAGTCATATGCCAACTGATCTCATAATATTGTCTGAGATCATGCATAAGGTTATTTGCAAAGTTTAATCAAAATGTCTATAACTTTGATCCATCTCTTTAGAAAATTATTTTATTTTATAATTCTGATATGAAAGCTGGCGGGCGATATGTATTCCTTCAAATAATGCTAAGCCTCTAATCTTCACCACCATTGATCATGTGGTAAATTTTATGTCATGAAATTATATTATTTTAAGATCAACCCCATACAATCGGTGGAGTTTTTTCTTGATTCCTTATTGTGGAAATGAAAGTCCAGAAAAGAAATAGACTTGCATTTAAGATCATAAAAAGTAAAGTAGAAAAGGAATGATAGTAAACAAGAAGTACTGCTTCTTCAAGCAGGATCTTTAACTTTCTGTGGTGCCTCATTGGAGAGGAGTAGTAATGAGATTTGTAGCGAAGTTTGTCTAAACTGATGGATGGCGAGGATTTCAAAGGAGCAAAGATTAAAAGCTATCAATACTGGCTCCTCGTCTGCAGCTGCTAAACTTATAACCCTCACTCTTCAGAGTGCAGCTGTACTGTACGGCCATCAATAACAGATGTTAGCTGTAACTTGTCTCTACAGTCTAAAAGGCTTTATTCTTATATATTTATTTCCTAGATGTGTTCAGGTGTGCATTGACTTGCTAATCTTATTAAAACCTCGTCGACATGACTCGTTTTTATCTACAGTGCAACCCAAATTACTTTAGAGACAAGAAACTTAGATGTGAAACATAAAACACAAACATGGGGGGACAAAGAAAAACTAATGAAACAACCTAGGATGTGGCTCTGAATAAACATTGTTCTGTAGTAAATCTTTAACAATGTAAAAATCCTTGTTCATTTAGTTTTCTCTGTACATTAGAAATAGTACTGACAGTAAACCTGTCCTTAGAAAATACTATATTTAAATGATTAAACATAAAATGAGCACAACTTTATCACGCTGAGAAAAACAATGCAGTGTTTGCCTGACAGAAAGTGGCAGGCTCCTCCTTTATCGGCCTCCGTGTGTAAAAATGTCACACTCACCTTGTGCGTCTCTGTCACAGCTTGCATGTTGCCACAATGAGGAGTACCGCCTCGAGGTTATGTTGACAACAACACGGCTTCCGAGAGAGGGTTGGAATCTCAGTCATTCAATTGCATCATCGTTTTCTAATGTGAGCTGTTTTAAATGATGATTTCCAGACACTGATGAAATGGTTTTGCTGCCTGAACACACATTTGGCTGCATGACAGCTCAGTGGTTAGCACTGATGCCTCAGAGCAAGAAGAAAGATCCTGGGTTAGAGTCCCGGTTTGGAACAGGGGTCTTTGCGTGTTTTCCTCATGCTTGCTTGGGTTTTCTCAGGGTACTCCGGTTTTCTACCACAGACAAAAACATACAGGCCTCCTTTGCAAAAGAAATGTGAGCTCAGTGGGATTTGCCTGGTTAAATAAAGGTTAATAAATAATAAATTCACTCGTTCAGACGGAGTGGGGAAGTGGGATAAATACTGGACACATTAGCAGTTTATTGCAGCTTCAACAAAGAAAGACACACAATGAACAATCACACAACTCCAAGGGAAATTAGTATCACCAATGAGCTCAATGTGCATGTTTTGGGAAAAGATGGAGGAAACCAGAGTAGCATCTCCTTGTGCTTTGTTTCTATTTATTATCTGCTTTGTTCAGTTTTGTTATTTATTTATTTATTTATTTATTTATTGGGGGGGGTGGTCATCAAGTCCAACAACTCACCTGCAGCCTTTGTTACGGTTCCTTCAGTTTAAATATTCCTGGTTTATTTTTGTAATTCCCCAAATCTGGCAGCACTTTGTTTTCCTATTTGTAGTAGTAGATAAACCCAGAGTAAGCAAACTAACAATAGGTAGACTACACTCAGGTAGGTAAAATTATAAGTACAATTAAAGTGGTACACGGGAAGATTTAGAGCAATATAATGATGATGGGTTTCTATGTCCACAAAGACTGAAGGTCAGGGATTATCTTGATGTAGAAAAAAATCTTACTTTATCCTTTGTGTCTCACAGACTTGGAGAGGACATGGAGAATTCCAGGAGTGGCCAGGAGAACAATGGTGGAGCCAGGTAAGTGAAGGTGATCGCCAGCGGAGGGCAGGTGACAGCAGGAGGGTTTCCAGGAAGAGGACCTTGGAAAAGACGTCAATGCACAACAAGGGGAAACCAAGAAGCAAGGGACTCAAAGCACAAGGAAAGTCTAAGTTAGGCTTTCTTAAAGACTAGGTAAGGTCTCAGGCATAGATACCAAAATTCCTAGTTTCACCCACCACTAGCATGCAAATAAAAATTATATTCATTATATTCTCCAAGTGTTTTAAATAGAACTTGTGAACATGGTTTGTTTTGTTGTTTCACATTAAACTATGGTCAGCAGTGGTTAGAGCCGGTTCACCTGGTCTTCCTGTGTAGTGTTTACATGAATCTGGCATATCTGACCTCAACTTGGCTTTCTGTCTTCATCAGAGCACCAAGGTCCATTCAGCCTTTTGGTGTCAGCCTATGTAAAGGCTCTGTCACACTGGACAAATTAATCAAATACTTAACTTTTATTAGCAATTTACTGATGGACACAAAAAATGTTTCATAAATTGGTATAAGTTGTCAAGGGTGACAGGGGCTTAAGTACAAAATAATCTATTATCACTCTATTCACCTAAACGTTATTTAAACTATACCCTAACTGATCCCTGCTTTCTTTCCTTTGTCTGCCTGTCTCTGCATCTCCCTCTCGCTATTAGTCTCTGTTTTATATACTTTAAGGTGCCGCTTTGATGAGGAGATCTTTATTTTACATGTATATATGGTGTTACTATATGTGCATAATTGTGTAATTGTATAGAAAAGCCTGAAAAGACATCTCAAGCAGGGTTTCTTTGACCTCCATTACACTTCAAGATTGTATTTATGACACTGTACGAATAGTGAAAGAACATATCAGATTTTAGCATGGTTACTCTCTTCCTGTGCTGCTGCACTTTATTTTAACTTGTGAAACAACACAACGTGCAAATACAGGGTTTAGTCAATGAAACTGAAACACCTGGTTTTAGACCATAACATCCCTTTCAGACAGCTTCCTCTCGCGTTCACACTTAATGCTGTTGGATGTGGTTGGTCCTTCTTGGTGGTATGCTGACATTACCCTGGATACTGTGGCTCTTGATACATCACAAAGACTTGCTATATTGGTCACAGATGCACCAACAAGACGTGCACCAACAATTTGTCCTCTTTTGAACTCTGGT